TAAGTATTAGGGTAATCTCCGGCCCTAATTATAACACCCGGTGCTGGGGACGGATGTTTAGAGGTGGCTGTTGGAATGGTTAACCACACTGCTTCGTGAGGTGAATAACATGGTTTCCAGGGTGGACGTGGTGTTGGGGAACGTTCTTCCCACAGTGACTTGGTGGCATTCATCGAGATCAATATTTCGTTGTTATTCTTAATCCAATTTTTGTATGACCCGTTTCCTTTTAGCCTTAATTGCTCTTTATACAATCCTATGTGACATTCCACGACGCCATTAGACTGTGGATGGTATGGTAGATGATGATGCCATTGGATGTTATATTCGGCTGCAAGTTTTTCTATGGCTTTTGAATTAAAGGGTGGTTCTCCATCAGAATGTATAACATGGGGCACTTGCCAGTGAGCAAAAGCAAGCTGTAAGCATCCCTGAACTGTGGAAGCTGTAGTTTTCCTTGCCGGGATGACAAGTGGTCTTGATCCTGGGAGAGGTCCAAGCAGATCCACTTGCCACACTTTGCCTGGTGCGAAATGTACAGGATCAAAGACACCGTGCGTATGTTTATGGTGCGTTGGTTTTTCCTTAGCACAAGCTGGGCATGCTTGGGTTATCTCCCTCCACTGTTGTAAGCTTGGCCCCTTATCATTATATTGTTTCCAGCGGGTTCGTGCTTTCTCAGCACCTGGGTGCCCCCAGAAATCATGGAGCCATTTCAGCAGTGGTTGATCATCTGCCACATTTGTCAGGTTTGATTGCACTAGGCTTACTTCATTTGATGGTTCTCGATGGGCTAATAGGCGGTCTATGATGGTATGTACAGGATCTGTATCAGGTCGATGGGAACGTGTATGTTTGACTAGAGGTAGTGTTAAGAATCGCTGCAAGATTTCTTTAATGTCTTCCCAGATGGATTGATGTTCTGTCGCTTGTGCTGCCCCAGTAACAATTCGATATATATACTCCGAGTCCATAGCGACGACAGGGACTGGAAGTGTTCCATCATGATGATCTCGAACATGTGTGAGCGCTAGATGGAATCCTCGTAATTCCGATGCTTGTACTGACT